CCTCCGTCTCCTCCTCCCCCTCCCCCTCCTCCTCCTCCTCCTCCTCCTCCTCCTCCTCCTCCTCCTCCTCCTCCGTCGTCGTCGCCGCCCTCCTCCTCCTCCTCCTCCTCCCTCCTTCCTCCCTCCTCCTCCTCCTCCTCCCTCTCCTCTACCTCCTCCTCCTTCCGTCCCCTCCTCCTCTCCTCCTCCTCCTACTCCTTCTCCTTCTCCTCCTCCCCCCCTCCTCCCCCTCCCCCCTTTCCTCTTCCTCCCTCCTCCCCCCCCTCCTCCTTCCTCCTCCCTCCTCCCCTCCTCCTCATCTTCTTCCTCCTTCTCCTCTCCCCTCCTCCCCCTCCTCTCCCCCCCTCCTCCTCTTTCCTCCCCTCCTCCTCCTCCTCTTCTTCCTCCTCCTCCCTCTGGGTGAGTCGTTCGGCCCCTCATTCTGGGGTGAGTCGTTGGGGCCCTTCCTTCTGGGTAAGTCGTTCGGGCCCCCCCCCCGGGGTGAGTCGGCAGGGTTCCCCCTTCTGCTTCTGGGGTGAATCGGTCGGGCCTTTCCTTCTGGATAAGTCGTTCGGGCATTTCTTTTCAGGTGAGTCGTTTTCGGGCCCCCGCCTCCTTCTCCCCCCCTCCTCCTCCGCCCCCTCCTTCTCCTCTTCTCAGCTCTCTTATACTGTGCCCCCTCTTCCCATCTCCTCCCGCCCGCCTCTCCAATGGCCGCGGCCTAAGAATCAAAACCTGCCCGGGGCGCAGTTGCGCCGCCACTCCCCCCCCCCCCCTCTCCTCCGGCCGCCGTTCGCGCGCGGTTTTCGGACCAGGCTTTGTCGCGGGCCCCACTTCGGGGCGCCACCTCGCAGGCGCGCACGCGCCCTAAAGCGAGCCATGGCATTTCGCCGCGGCCCGAAGATCTCGGGTGGATTGGCGTGCCCGAAGACCCTGGTTTTCCTTCTTGGCATTGGCGCCGCATGGCCCGGGGAGTCCTCGCGCTCAAATGCCTTCGCAGTTTCTGGGGGCAGCTCGGGCAATACCTCCGGGCCGTCGATCTCCGCGGCCGAGCTCTGCGTGATTGAGGAGCGCGCCAGTTCGCTGTTCCCGCAGGAGCGCCCCTCACCTCGGTGGGCACTGTCCCATCTCGTCCTTCGGAGGGCCGATCGCCGATCTTTCTTCGCTTTGCTTTCCTGAGCCCCCCCGCCCCACCCCGCCCGGACCCCCCCCCCCGCCCCCGAACGCAGGGGCGGCATGGCAGCGTTGTCTTGTCGAAGCGATGTGCAGGCAACCATGCGAGCGGCAGGGGCTCGCGCGGGGCTTCTAGGTTGAACGCCGTCAGCGGCGTCTAGAGTTGGGCAGCAGCGCCGTTGAAGAAAACGCAAGTTACCATCCGAAACGGTGGCGGGCACTGCCCAAATCTTACCGCGGCATCCGCAGCCCATTCGGCCCATTAGCCAGGCCTCTTCTCGCGATCCCAAGCAGAGATCCCCCAGGATAGCTTGACAGGCACCATGTCAGGCGCAGGGGGCGATTGGTGGGACAGCGCGGACCAGGCGTCGCAGCCGCCTTCTGCCGCGGGGTGCCACAGGCGCCCTCGCGGTTCCAAAGGCGGCCGTTCCGCGCCCGCTTCCCAGGCTGGCGCATCTGGCGGCGGCGGAGGTCGACCCGGCCGAGTGACTTACACGTTCGCCATGAAGACCTCGGCAAACACGCGCGGCTGCGCGCGTGGGTTCTGTGGCGGGAAAGACTTTGGTATGGACCCCATCACGCCGTCGGCCAAGAGATTGTGGGGTGGCTACAAACAAATCGCGGGCTTCATCGGAGTCGTTGGCGAGGACTTCATGCTTGGTTTCGCTCCAGGGTGGTAGGGTAGGTAACCTCCGACGAGCCCTCGCTCGATCGTCGATCGATCGATCGACGATCGATCGATTCGATTCGCCCCCAGCAGCATCGCAGCATCGCTGTCCTCACTTATCCCCCCTAGCCGCTTGGCCGTCGCCCTCGCAGACGCCGCGGTTGCGGACGTGGATGCGGATGTGACTGGGGCATCCGACATGTGCGTGACATCCGACATCCGCAGCCGGGGCGTTTACAAGGGCGACGTCCGACGTGGGTGACGAAATCCAGGAGACGTCGTTTCCCTCGTCGTTTGTTGCCAGCTCCGTCCGCCCAGCGCCAGGACAGTCTCGCCCTCGAGACAGAGGGGGCGATCTGCTGGGTCTGCTTCCGCGTCTGGAACGTGAACTTCGCCGCTCATATGACTATCAGCGAGCTGAAAAAGAAGATCGGGACCGACCACGCGTTGTTCCAGCAGTTCCAGCCTTTCTCCGCCTGGTTGATCCGCCACTTGATCGAGAAGGTTGACCACTCGGAGGACAAGCAGCAGGCCCGCGAGTCGCTCTACGTGACATGCTGGCCTTGGGCAGATCAGCTGCCGCGGATGGATATCTTCCAGGTGGGGCGCCAGGGGAGGGGGGCTCCTCCCTCTGCTCCTCTGCCTCCTCTCCCACCCCTTCCGCGCCCTCTCCCCCCCCATCCTCCTCCTCCTTCTCCGCTGCGTTATTCTTTTCGCTCGTGCATCCATTTGTTTCGATGGCAGCTAGCCAGCGGTTGGCCCGCGGCGACCACTTGAGGGGAACGTGGTCGCTGGAGGCTGCGCCCCCCCAAAAGTGGTCGCTCGATCCTGGGGCGACGGAGACCTTTCGTTCTCCTCCTCCTCCGCTTCCCCCCCCTGCTCCTCACCCCCATCCCCCCCTCCTTCCTCCGCCTCCTCCTCCTCCGCCCCCTCTGCCCCGCCTTCCCCGCGCCCGCCCCATCTCCTCTCAGGCGAAGTGGATCAAGCCCAAGGACAGATACATGGAGAAGAAGCAGTACGTCGGCAAGCACGGCGATCCGAGCACTAACGGCCTGGGCCATAAGGTTGAGGATGGCCCCCCAGGCGTCTTGCTCGCGAACATGGGCAACGATGGCATCTGGGAGCGAGAGGAGTCCATCATCTACCAGGCGATCAAGAGCAAGACTTTCGACGATGGCACTGGCGAGACGACGCAGCTTCACGTCGGGGAGCGCTTCAACCAGCTGTCCCGCGGGCTCGGCGCTGGCGGCGCGGGGGCGCTTGGCTACCCCTCCCTCTGGGGCGCCCCGCAGCTCGGCGGGTGGCGCGGCCGGCGCTTCATCTCCCGTGCAGGGCGCCGTTCCGACGTGGTCGCCGCCGCCTTCGCCCGCGCCTCCCGCTGCGGCGACAGGCCGCGCCAGCGGCAGCCTCCCCCGCGCCGCCTCCCCCGAGCCCGAAGCGCCTGCGGCCCCGGGCAAGCCGCCGAAGGGCAGGCGCTCGGCTGGGGGCGCGGCGCCCGCCAGGCAAGACCCCGCCAGCCGGCCAGGCAAGGCCAAGGCCAAGCCGAGCGCAGGCGGCGGCAAGAGAGGGCGCCCCGCTCGGGACAGCTGCACCTTGCTGCGCACCGCGATGAACGATCTCAAGAACTCAGTGAGCTCCACGGCTAAATTCTTTGGCGTCGAGTGGAAGAACGTGTCCAGGAATTGGCAGAACTACCACACAGATCTGATCAACATGATGGAGGACGAATCCGACGCGAGCATCCTGCGAGACATGCGTTACTTGGAGAAGCAAGTGAACGCCGCGAAGACCGTCCTCGGCAAGGTCAACATCCTCGGGCTCACCAGCAAGGACACCGTGGCGTGCTTCCAGCAGCAGTCGAACTACTTGAAGATGGACCCTCTGCTCCTCGCACTCCTCGTCTTCCCCTCCTCCTCCTCCTCCTCCGATCCTCTTCCTCCTCTTACTCCCCCTCCCCCTGCCCCCCCGCCTCCTTCTCCTCCTCCCCCTGCCCCCCCCCCCCGCCCCCCCCCGCCGCAGTCGCTGCCGGTCGCGAGGGTGCGGGGTCGACGGGGGGGGGGGGGGGGGGGGGGAAGAAGTGGGGGGTGGAGGAGGGGGGGAGAGAAGGGGGGGGAGGCGATGATGATGGACGAGGAGGAGCTGAGCGGGGAGTAGGATCAAGCGTCCTGGGGGCAGGGGCCTCTCTCCTCTTCCCGCGCCTTAATTGGAGGAGCCCGTTGTCGAGTCCCCCTTCCCGGCGTTCTTGGTAAAGATGATGCGCCAGCAAGGCGCGGAGGACTTGTGGCCTGCGGAGGCCTTCTGGGCCAGTCTCCAGCCGACGGCGTTGGCTTCTTTCGCTGATGCAGGGGATGTTCCTTCCTTCGCCCTCGAGACGGCCAGCGCTCAGATCATGATCATATGCCCAGAAAAAGACGTCGCTGAGGCCAGGAAGGATTTGACTTCCTTGACGGTGAGTTTCAGGTCGAATCAGATTCCGGAGCGGGGGGTCGAAGTCATTTTTTCGCCGCCCCCCAGGTTTCCTGGAGAGGCCCGAGCGGGATTTGGGAAGGTTCGGCCCGGGGCCCCCCAAGAGCGGTCACGCGCGAGCGCTTTCGCTCGACCGATCTTGGATATTGGGCTCTTTTTTTAGGCGAAACCATTTTGAAATTCCAAGAGGGGCTCGACGCGGCCCCAAGAGGGCCTCGAGAAAGCCCCAACAGACAACAGAACATCGAGAAAGCCGATAGGGCCCCACGAGCCCATGAGGGTTCCATGAGGGCACCAGGATCGGTCACGCGAAAAAGCTTTCGCGTTACCGATCGCGTTGCCGAGCTTTCGCGTTACCGATCTGTCCGATCTTTCGGCTTTCGCTTCAGGATCTTGGGCCCCTCTTTCGGCCGCATCGGCCCATCGCCGTCGCGGGGCTCCAAGAAGCCCCGACATCGGGCTCCCAGAGGGCCCCGAGAGAGCTCCACGAGTGCCCGGGGCATCGGTCGCGCGAAAGACCCCTCGCGTGACCGATCTAGGGCCCCTCTTTCGGCCATCTTGGAGCTCCAATGGGCCAGCGGGGGTCAAAGCGCCCCCGAAGCGCTCCGAGAAGGCCCGCGAGGGCCCCGAGAGGGATCCAACATCGGTCACGCGAAAGAGCTCTCGCGCGACCGATTTCGGGACCGCCCTGGAGGAGCAGTTGCAGTCGGCGCAGGTGGAGTGCGACGCCCTCGAGACCGTCCTGATGGCAGGTTCAAAATGCGGCCGCGTCGAGGACATGGAGAAGGCATTGGAGAATTGGCCAAGGATGAACTTTGCCAAAGCGATGGCTGCTTATCCAGTGGGGAGGGCCATCCTTGAAGACGTAGAGAAGAACGGGCTGCCTATGATGAAAACGAGGGTGAAAAACATCGATTCGTGGAGAAAGTTCGCTGTCGGATCCCCCACCGGCGAGGTCATCCTGAACATGAACGGCATCATTCAGCGAGTGGACATCATCGGCGACGACGCCGCCATGGAGGTCTTGACTGAAGAGTGGGTCCTTAGTGTGGCTTGAGGGGCGGTGCAATCGTTCTCGCCCGCCTTTCTTGAGAAATTCGCGGTCGAGGATGCGAGGGAAGCGGTGAAACGGCTTCATTATTTGTCAAGCGCCTCATCGCTGAACAACTTCTGCGCTGCGAAGATGCCTGGCCACCCAATCTGCAGCTGCGTCGGAGATCTGCACGTCGAGTTGCACGACCTGGCTCTTTTCATGTTCGAGTACGAAGGCGCCGCGGACGTGCCGAACCCGTCAGAACCTTTGGCCTCTTCTATCCTTCTCGGTTTGAGCAACTTCGGGGGCCAGAAGGCAGTCGTCTCCGCTCTGGGCAGTCTCGTGGGCGACGGTCCTGTGCAGCTACTCAGTGACTGGTTCGCCCGGGCGTGGCGGTCCGAGTCGGTGTCTAAGTGCGTGGAGACTTGCAAGGCCCAGGCGGCTGGCCTCGAGGCAGCCGCCAAGACGGCCATCAAAGACACGTTCGAGATGAAGATCGCAGTCGACGACGCGGCGTTCCCGAAGCTTCTGTCCTTCAATCTCCCCGGAGACGTTCCAGCTGCCATTGGCGTCCTTCGCAGCATCCCGAGACAGAGCATCCTCGTCGGCGAGATACAGTGCACTTACTTGTACGGCAGGGTCGCGAAGAACTACGCCAAATCCAAGTCGGGCTACGAGAAGCTCGAGACCAAGAAGGAGCGCACCATCAGCGAGACCCTCGTCGGCATGATCAGTGGCCTCCGGGGCGACTTGAAGACGTTCCGCGATTTCGTGGCGGCTTCGCCAGTCAGCGAATACTTCCGTTCGGGGCCACTCGCCGTGGACGAGCAGCTGCTGCAGACCGAGAAGAGCAGGTTGAAGGTGGAGTGGGACCGCGATGACCTCGACAAGGCGCTGAATACGATCGAGGCCTGGATTGCCGCCGTCGCGCAGGGCTGGATTCAAGACGGCGCGGGCCCCGAAGCGAGAGGAGGAGGAGGGGGTGGGTAAAATTGGGGGGGAGGCAGGAGGTGAGGAGAAGGGGGAGGAGGTGGAGAGGAGGGATGGCAGAAGGGAGGTAGGGAATGAGGGACGGGGGCGGGGAAGAGAGGAGGAGGGGGGAGAGGTGGGGTGGGGCCGGGGGGTGGGGGCGGGCCCCGCCCTCCTCCTCCTCCCTCTTCCTCCCCCTCCTCCTCCACTCACATTCCCCCCCTCCTCCTCGCCCTCCTCCTCCCCGGCCTCCGCGCCCCCCCTCCTCCTCCTCCCTCGCCCTCTCCCCGTCCGTGCCCTCGCCCCCCTCTCCTCCAGCTCCCTCCTTCTCCTCCACTCCTCCTCCCCCTCCTCCTCCTCCCCCTCCTCCTCTCCGCGCGCCTCCTCATTCTGCCCGCCCCCATTGAGGGCCGCCAACCAGCTCGTGGCGCTTCTCGGCCAGTGGGTGATCCCGGGCTGGAGTTTCCGCAAGGGTGACATCCTCGATAAGCAGCACGCCGATTTGAGAGAGGCCATTCTGAGCAACGCAGAGCACAGTCGGATTGGCCGCGGCGCGGCCATGTTGTCGATCTGGCGCGGCCTGCTGAAGTCGATCAACACGGACGGTTGCGGCCCCGCCGTCCTTGTCGACGCGCTCGAGCAGCTCGGCACCGCGACGGCCGATGCGAACGAGCATTGCATGTTCGCTCACCATCTTCACCTCGTCGCGGTGAAGATCCCAGAGATCAAGAACATCAAGCTCCGGAAGGCCGCCGCGAAGAAGTTCATCGATGAGACCGGTTGGAAATGGGAGTGGGCGAGGTGGGGATGAGATCGGGCCCCGCCCCCCCCCCACCCCCTACAGGAAGAGGGAGAGGGGGGGGAGGAAGGGGGGGAGGTAGGGCGAGGTAGGAGGAGAGAGGAGGAGAGCGAAGGAGGAGGAGGAGCAGGAAGAGGAGGAGCAGCAGGAGGAGGACGAGCAGGACGAGGAGGAGGAGGGGGAGGAGAAGGACGGAGACAACTTCCCTGGGGTCGGTTTTAGCAGAATTCTGGTGGCCCTCCAGCCCCTGTAAGTCTGGCTTTTTTCCTCCTCCAGCGGCCCCAAGCGGCCTCCAGCGACCGCCCGGCCCTCTGTGGTCTGAAGCGCCATCGAGCGGCCCCCAGCGGCCTTCAGCGGCCTCCGGTGGCCCCTAGTAGCAAGTGCCACCCCGTGGCCCCATAGCGGCCGCTCAGGAGATGGCGAGGGCCCCCCAGGATCGTCTTTTGGGGTTTCCGAGTTGGCCCAGGACTCCAGGCCCCCTAGAAGTGGTCCGAGTAGATGGGGTCGGTGGATCGCGCTGCATTGCTGCGTCGCCGATGCATGCATCGGCGATGTGGCTCGATGTGGGCCCCGATTTCCCTCGCGCCGACGTCGTCGTGCTTGATGTGCGCTGCTGGCGTCGCCTTTGCATCGGCATCGGCGATGCATCCCCGATGCGCCGATGCATCGCCAATGCGGCGCGATCCTCCGACGCCATCTACTCGGGTACGATTTTGGCGGCATCCGCTGCAAGGACTGCGCCGGCAAGAAGGGCTTCGACGCGGGCCAGAGCATGAAGGGCCGCGCGAACGTGATCGCGTCCACGGGGATGCCGCCGGAGGAGGACGGCGCCGCGGATGCGGATGAGGGTGCGGGGCCGCCCGCTCCTGGGCCGGAGGCCGGCGCGGAGCCGCTGGCCAAGAAGGTCAAGACGGCCGCCGAGTAGGCTTGGGCCGCAGGCGGGCGCGCGACCACGGTCGGAGGAAGGAGGCGGAGGTGGGGGGGGAGGGAGGATGAGGGGGGAAATTGGAGTCAGGGGTAGGAGCGAGTGGCGGAGGAGGAGGAGGATGGAGAAGGACGAGGAGAGTCGGAGGAAAAGGAGGAGGAGGAAGAGGAGGAGGAGGAGGAGAAGGATAAGGAAAAGGATAAGGAGGAGGAGGAGGAGGAGGAGGAGGAGGAGGAGGAGGAGGGGGATGAGGAGGAGGAGGAGAACAAGGAGGAGGAGGAGGAGGAGGAAGAGTAGCAGTCGGAAGAGGAGTAGCAGGGGGGGGAGGGGGAGGAGGAGGTGGGCAGGGAAAAGGAGAACGAGAGTGGGCTGCCCGATCAGTTTTCGCTCCGCGGGCGACGGTGTCGCTCGCTCTTATCACGGCAGGGCCCATTTGAGACACCTGGGGCTTGCCTTCGGCGGAGGAGGGGCGTCGCCGAGGCTGGCCGCGCGCGCGTGCGCCCGCAACTGGCTCCCAGGGGTCCCGATGTCCGATAATCTTGAATGTCTCTGAATGTTGAATGTCGGTGTCTCAAGTTGCCCTGCTCTGCCTTTTAAAAGGGGGCCATGGCCATCCCCCTTCTTTTGCTTCCCGCCCCTCTTCTCATTGATCTCGCTCTCCCCCGGCCTCTCCTTCTCACTTTTGCCCGCCCCTGCTGGGTCATGCAGGGCGAGGCGCTGCGCCTGCAAGGCTGGTTTGATCGTCGGTGGCACGATGCAAAAACTTCGCCCCGCCCCCCCGCCGCGCTTGGCGGGGGGGGGGGCGCGGGAGGGAAAGGAGGAGGAGGAGAAGGAGGAGGAGGAGAAGGAGGAGGAGGAGGAGAAGAAGGAGGAGGACGAGAAGGAGAAGAGGGGCTCCCGTTTGGCACTCGGCGCGCGCCCCCGACGCTTGGGCTTCGCCCTCAGTCCGCCGACGTCACCCGTCGCAGCGCATTTCTCGCATCGGAGTGCGCCACGCGTCAGCAAAAGCATTGGCTTTGGCGCTTATATGGGGGCGCGCATGCGACCGAACGCTAGCGTGTATTTCAGTTGCGATGGCGTGTTATTTATTTCAGCTATACGGTATATGATTTACTATTATTATATGCATTGACTTCCTCAAATGTTACTATCATCGCTGATTATTTACATGTAATTTCATGTCTCGCACGTGGCTGGATTTAGATTTTCATGTAATTTCATGTTCGATGTTTTCGGCGGTGGATTTGTTTGTGATGTCATGTTTTCTTGCATTCGCCTGTCCCGAGCCGCGATGCATGTGGTTCATCGGGGACCGTCAACTTATACTTCTACCTCTTGGGTCCGTTTTGGAGCGATTCGGGGCTCCTGTTGGGGTTCTCTTCGGCGATCTCAGAGCCATCTTGAGGCCTCGAGCATCAATAGTGGGCTAACTTATCCCATCTAGGACGCCATCTGGAGCTACCTGGGGCCATCTTGGAGCCATCTTGGGCGTTCTATCGCTTCGTGGAGGGGGACGTCCAAAGCCAGGGGAAGGGCGTGCGGGGGTGGATGGGTCAAGTTCTCAACGGTGCGCTTCAGTCAACCCGCGCAGTATGGATGGGCAACCTTCCCGAGGGTACCCTTGCATTCTTGCCTCCTCGGTCCGTCCTTCGCCGCTTTCGCTGGCCGCGCCCCGCTCGAAAAGCTTCGACAGGGGCATCCGAGGCCCTTGCATCCTTATCGCGCATCCTTACTGTACTGGTTGACTGTACAAGCTGTCTCGCTCACTCCTACCCAGCCTTTCGCCACGAGTTAGCACCGGAGATTCAACGCAAGCAACGGTCGCCATGGGATGGGCCTAAACGGTTTTTTTGGCGATTTCGTGGGCCGTTTTCGTTTCGACTTCGTTTTGCGGTAAAGGCGGATTCGAAACAAAACGAGGGAAACACCGTTTAGGTTCAGCCCTGCGGCCTTCCGCCACGAGTTAGCATCGGAGACGCAACACAAGCAGAGGTCCCCATCGGGTGGACAGCCAGCGCGAGCTCATGCAGGCGCTATGTCTGCGCGACGGTCGCGACGTGCGCAGTGTGCCACGCGACTCAGGGGCCCAAGCCTACCAGGCGCCCCTGGTGCACCAGATACGCCACGTGCATCAACTGTGCCGCTTGCCTCCTCCTCCCTCCTCCTGCTCCTCCTCCTCCTCCTCCTCCTTCCCCCTCCTCGCTCCTCCTCCCTTCTCCTCCTCCCCCCTCGTTCTCGTCCTCCTCCTCCTCCTGCTCCTCCTCCTCCTCCTCCTCCCCTGCCCCCTCCTCCTCCTCCTCCTCCTCCTCCTCCTCCTCCTCCTCCACCTCCTCTCCTCCTCCCTCCTCCCCTCCTCCTCCTCCTCCTCCTCCTCCTCCTCCCTCATCCTCATCCTCCGCCTTCTTTCCCTTCCCCCCCCCCCCTTTGTTTTTCTCCTCCCCCTCCTCTCCTCCTCCTCCTCCTCCTCCTCCTCCTCCTCCTCCTCCTCCCCCTCCTCCTTCTCCCTCCTCCTCCTCCTCCTCCTCCTCCTCCTCCTCCTTTTCCCTTTTTGACTCAAGCGATCGCACGGCCTCTCCCGCGCGCGCCCCCTTCTCGGGGAGGCGCAGCTGCGGGATGTCGGGGGCCTAGAGGGGCTACCTCGGCCCTCGGCGCCTCTCTCGTGGAGGCCGCCGTTCGGGCCGCGGTGCTGGCTGGGGCGGCCGCCACGAGTTCCGCCATGTCCGCTACGCTCTTCGCGGGCGGGGAGCGGCCGTCGAGGACGGCCGCGGCCGGGCCTGCTGGTGCGGCTGCCCCCGACGACGACGCGCCGCTTGCTGCGCGGCTTGCCGCTGCGGCGGCGCGGACGGCGCGGCGGCGGCGGCGTCGACGCCAAGCCCTCGCTGTTCGGCGAGCGGCGGAGGCGTCCCCCGCTGCGGCGGATGGCGGAGGAGGCGCTGATGCTGGCGGTGCGGGCAGGGGTCTCGAGCTCGTGCAGGTGCCGCTGGAGGAGGGGCCCGCTGCCATGGAGGAGGTGTCGGACGAGGTGGACGACGAGTGGGCCGACTCGGCCCCCGTGCAGAACGCGCGGCCCCCTCCCAGGGCGTGCCACGCTGCGTGGCCGGCTCCGGGTGGCGGCTGTTCGGCGGCAGCAGTTGGCGGCGCGGGCGCGGTGGCGCTGAAGCCGTCGGCCCCCGCGGAGTTGGCGGCAGACCCCTCCCTCCGTTTCTCCGTGGAGGAGTTCGAGGCGAGACGCGACCTGATGAAGAGGGCGGCTGCGATCGTCGCTCTTGG